GGGGGAGACATGACTCGCCGGTGCTTATAAAAGCAGTAGAGGCGGTGTTTTAATGTGGTTTAATTGTAAAATGTATTGTGATAATACATTTTTTATTTATTTTTAAAATTTTATTTTTTATATTAATATATATTCAAAAATATAAATAAAAAGATAATTTAAAACTAAAAAAATTATTATTATTTTAAATACAGTTGTACCATAAAATTAAACAATATCTAAATATAGGACTTTTGTACAGGTTTTTTTCTTCACCTCCTTTTATACCCCCAACGGTGGGGAATACCAGATTTTACTGTTAAGACGAGTAAAAGAGCTGAGCCACGTTCTGTGTTTACTGTTCACAGACAAGATCTCTGATGGTAATGCAAGCTGGCATTGCTAAAATGACAGTGCGTATAACAAAGGTATCAAATTAATGTTAACGCAATTTTTCCCACAACTAAACCTCGTACCTTCGTCTTCAGTATATTGATGAGTTTATCATGGTGAAGCACTCACACTTGGATTGAGCCCTTTTCTTTTAAAAAAAAATTACTTGATTGCTTAACATAAAATAAAAGGTGTTCCCCAAAGTCGTCATTACCGCGGGAAGGACAAAGACATCTGCAGTAAGGGAAAAATAGTATTAATTTAGTGACTGTTTTAGAAGTGTGATTGCATTCTTTTTTAAAGTATTTTTTTACGTTAAATATGTTAAAATAATTTTTTTATATTTTGTTTACGTTAAATATGTTAAAACAAATTTTTCATATTTTTAAAATATTTTTTATTTAGAAATATATTAATAAAATTTTTAAATTTTTTGTTAATATTAATACATTAAAACAATTGAAAAAATAATAAAAAATACAGTCATCAACATTATTTGATGAGATCTATTTCTTTAAGTTACTCCCAATAATCGATTGAGTATCTTGCTTGATAAAATGGAAAGTTACATTCAAAGTAAAACACCAGGTTAAGATTACCCAATTATGCTGACCTGAATTTTGTTCACACAAGAATAGAGAGCGGCAGATGGAACGAAGAGACTTCAACACCATCATCGAAGTACACTCACAATGGCGTTTCGTCGGGTTTTATTTTGGATTTTAAGTATATTTTTTAAATATATATATATATATATTAAAATAATATTTTTTATTTTTGAAAATTAAATATATTAAAATAATTAAAAAAAGAGAGAGTAATATTAGGCAAAAATATTTAAATTTTAGACAAATGGTGTCTTTGTCTTTGCGGTGATACCAAACACCCTCTTTAGCACGCTTTGCTTCTTTATAAGTTTTACTTTTTCAAGGAGAAGAAAAGGGAAGAATGTAATCACCAACTAAATTAAATTATAAGAAGCAAAGCCAGTTGCGTCCGCCATAACCAAAGGCTAACTAACTACTGATTAGTCTCTTTCTTTATTTTATTTTATTTTATTTTGTTGAAAAAGGGCTCCCACCCTGCTTTGAGTTTTTATAACTCAACTCTCTGTTAAGCTAATCCCAAGTAATCACCAGCGCATCAATCCGTGTGTGTGGTGGTATCAAAACCAATCCAACTTATTCCCATTCCAGATCCCTACTTTTTTAATTTTTAATTTTTTTATCTTTAAATATCCATTACCGCTGAGCTAATTATTTTACCGTGCCATTTCCTATAGAAAGGAAAATCCAATTATCATGAAATGATATATTTTTAGGTGTTTTTTTAATAATTTTAATGTATTAATATTCAAAATATAATTTTTATGTATTTTTCAATTGCAAACCATCTTACACCACAATACCAAATTAAATACATACTAAAAATTCTATTTTCTTTTAGATATGAATTCAATTTAATTAAAACCCTTTCATTTTATGTTATTTTTTATATAGGTTTTGTTTTATTTCGTTTTATAAAGATTTATCTACTATTTTGAATTTTTGGAAAAAAAAAAAACTGAGATTTACTTAGTAGCAGTCTTTGTTATGGTGAATAAATAAAAAAAAAGAGATGGAGAGAACTCGAAATATGTATTGGTGATTGAAATTATTCGATTCATGGACTCAAATTTTGAATGCGTGGCAGCGATATCAGAGAATTTGGAGACTATAGACATTAATCAGCTTCTAGGTTATTTACAAACACATGAAAAAAGATTGAAGAAGAGGTGTAAGAACCTTCGGCTCAACTTCTCCAATCAAGAATTAGTTAAGGCTTGTGAAAAAAGTCATTTTGTATACTTTACTCTTCCACAAAAGAGTTCAAGTTGGTTACAATAACAGCGAGGATGCATCACAATTGTTAAATCATGTCTAGGGTTGATTCAACGAAGGCTTTAAAAAAATCAGTATGACACATTTTATTATTTTAAGATGGAGATATTACAAATCATTCTCAATCAACCTGAGTTTAATATAAAAATCACGATCCAAGTCATATACACGATCATGATGCACTAAATCGGTTGCTCAACTATCTTTTTTATTCCCCTTCTTTGTTCTCTTGCTGATTAGGCCTTCATTTGGTTAGGATCTGATGGAATTTAGGTTTAAATTAAAGATTACTTGATAATTAGGAATTAAATTAAATTAAAAAAAAAACTTAAACTCACATGGGATGAAATTCAAAATACAATTAATGGGTTCCAAGGTAAAGAAACAGTAAAAGGCAAACATAAATAGCTAGCATACGTGGGAGGACTCGTCGCATTGTTGCAGCGCGTGATCCTTCCTCTAGCCTCCAAAACAGTCTTATGTTTTTGAATTTAATAGTTTTTTGTTTTTTTTCTTCCTTTTAAGTGAATGATTTTGTTTTTCCCATTTATCAATTATAATCCCTTAATTTTGATCTCTTAAAAAATGAAAAACCTGAATAATATGGCGCAAAATTGAGTCTGAGTCAAATGGCAAAAAAACTTTGTACCCTTGAGAATCATATAGAGAGCCTATGAAAACAAACTATCATCCAAATTCAAATATAATTAATGTGGAAGGATAATCTGAAAACAAATCAATGGGGCACTGTATTCATCCTTAGCAATTGAAACCGTCAATGTTGCGCTCTTTCTAGGATGCCCTGTCCCCCGCTGTCCGTTTCTGCCCCTGCTTCTCTGCATGAATCTTTTCCCTTGCTTTTTTCATGGACTCTTCCTCCAAATTACACAGACATTGCAGCCTCAGAAATATGCTATAGTTTATAACTTTCATGGTCTAACTCCTTTGATGGTAATTGGTGGTTTGGGCGGTGACAGGTTTCTTGTCAAGGATTCATATTTACGATGAAAATAATGCGGTTTTTTTGTTTTGTTTTTTCTTTTGTCATTACTATTAGTATTACTATAGAAAAATGTAGAAACCAAAACAGCTTGTTTGCCTTTGTTTGGTGTCGTCGAATGAGAGCTCTTGCCCACAATCCCCACTAAAACATTAAGGAAATAAAACCCCACCGTTTTATCTTAAATCGTGTAAGAACTCCAAACTATTTACACTTTTGAAGATAAACACGATTTCTTTAGTGGGAACCAAACAGGTAAAGTCCATCGCATGTATATGGAATGGTTTAACAAACTGAAAAGCTGATTAGGACATCATTTGGTTCCACGCTAGCTCCTTAGTAACTTAACATTAAAATCAATTTAAAATCATATCTTTACCACCAAATCATGATCATAATTAGGAGTTAGATAGTGTCGTGAATTAAGCAGCAATTTACATTATAATTGGTTTTAAAGGAACTAATAAGCTTTTTATCAACCTATGCTTCTAAACTTATTTACGAGACCCCACTTTGAAGGCTACGATAAATGTTTTTTTTTCCTTTTCCTTTGCCCCATTGCTTTGATAAGTACGATGTTCATCTTTCTGCTAACAAGCCGAGAAAAGAAAACAAGAGAAGGGCGAGACGGTATGGGCTAGAAGATAGTCGAGTCTCCCGTTTCCAATTCTTATCACGATACCCTGTGTTATCATGGAGATAATGTGAAGAGAGAATGACTTGGGAGAATATTGGTGAGCTAGCTAGTTGAGATGTTGATTTTCAAAATTGGATTGTAATCAGATTTAGCATGGAGAAGAAGATATCGTTTTTATTTCTGGGTCTGGTCGATGAGGGTTGGTGTGTGGATAGCTCAATTTTCCTTGATCATTTCCTCCTTTTAGGTATGGTTTGGTCACCCTCTACATCATTATCTAAGATAGACACTGTTCATGGTCAGAGACACCATGATTGTTATTCCCTCCATGTTTTTGGCTTGTTTTCTGCTGGTTGCTTTGTAGGTATCCTCCGGGTCAAAGAATTTTAATACCATATTAAAAAATAATCATAGGCAATGTTTGAAGAATAGTTTTAATCATGCATAATGTTCAAGCTAAATATTTATTTTCAAGGGATATCGGTAGTCAAAAATTGAAGAAGAAAACTGTAT